ATGTGTTGTTCAGAGTGATTGTTTCCTCACTGATTTTTCTGTCTTGATGATCTATTCATTGATGTAAGTGGAGTGTTAATGTTCCCTACTATTGTACTACTGTCAATTTCCCCCTTTATGTCTGTTAATGTTTTCTTTATATATTTAGGTGTTCCTATGTTGTTTTTCCCATTGTATGTTCTTCCCTCCTTTGTCATCGATTAATTGACTGTATAATCATGGTGCACAGAAACTTACAATTATTATATCCTCTTCTTGGATTGATCCCTTTATTAATATGTAATAGCCTTCTCTCTTTTTTTAAGATTTTTTATTTTTTATTAGAGAGAGAGTACAAGTCGGGGGAGTGGCAGGTAGAAGGAGAGGGAGAAGCAGGCTCCCCACTCAGCAGGGAGCCCAACGTGGGGCTTGATCCCAGGACCCTGGAATCATGACCTGGGCCAAAGGCAGCCGCTTAACCGACTGAGCCACCCAGGCGCCCCTGTAATAGCCTTCTATATCTGTTGCTATAGTCCTTGTTTTAAAGTCTATTTTGTCTAATGTAAGTATTGCTACCCCAGCTTTTTTTCTTTGCCTCCATTTGCATGATATATCTTTTTCCATCCCTTTGCTTTCAGTTTGTATGTGTCTTTAGCTTTGAAGTGAGTTTTTTTTATAGGCAGCATATAGATAGGTCTGTTTTTTTTATCTATTGATTCACTTTATGTCTTTTGATTGGAGCATGTAGCTCGTTTACATTTAAAGTAATTATGGATAAGTATGTACTTATTGCCATTTTGTTCACTTATTTCTGGTTGTTATAGTTCTTTTTTCCTTTTTTCTCTTGGTCCTTTCCCTTGTAATTTGATGACTTTCTTTAGTGTTTTGCTTGGATTCCTTTCTCTTAATTTTCTCTGTATCTATTACACATTTTTGGCTTGTGGTTACCATGAGTTTCATATATAACATCCAAAGTATATAGCAGTCTGTATTAAGCTGATGGTTTCCTAAGCTCAACAGTCTAAAAGCACTATATTTTTACTCCCCCCTTCACATGTTATGTATAGGACAGCATATTTTACATCTTTTACTTTTGTGTATCCCTTAACTAATTTTTGTTGATGTAATTGATTTTACTACATTTGTTTTTTCACCATCATACTAGCTTTATAAGTGGTTGACCCTACTACCTTTACTGTGTATATTTTTTAACCAGTGAAATTTTTTCCTTTTGTAATTTCCTTATGGCCTTTTCTGATTAAAGAATTCTCTTTAAGATTTCATGTAAGGCCAGTTTAGCAGTGGTGAAATCCTTTAACTTGTGTTTGGGAAACTCTTTACCTCTCCTTAATTTTTAATGATAGTCTTGCTGGGTGGAATATTCTTAGTTGTAGGTTTTTTTCCTTTCAGCACTTGAATATATCATACCACTCCCTTCTGGCCTGCAAATTTTCTGCTGAAAAATCAGCTGATAGCCTTATGGAGTTTCCCTTAAACATTTCTAGTTGCTTCTCTCCTCCTGCTTTTAAAATCCTCTCTTAATAATTTAAACACCAAAACAAAAGATATTGGGGTCATGGTGTGGACTTCCTTGGGTTTATCTTGTTATCTGTTTCCTTCCCCAGGTTAGGGAAGTTTTTAGCAGTATTTCCTTCCTCAAATAAGTTTTCTGCCCTCTACTCTCTCTCTTCTCCTTCTGGGATCCTTATGATGTAAATGTTTGTTCACTTGATGTTGTCCAAGAGATCCCTTAACCTGTCCTCATTTTTTAAATTATTTTTTCTTTTTGCTATTCAGCTTGGATGCTCTCCATTACCTTGTCTTCAAAATTAGTGATCCATTCTTCTGCATTTGCTAATCTACTATTGACTCCCTCTATTGTATTTTTCATTTCTGTCATTGTATTCTTCATTTCTGATTATTTTGATATTTTCTATTAATTTGTTGAAGTTCTCACTAAGTTTATCCACTCTTCTTTCTAATCCAGTGAGCATCTTTTTGAGCATTACTTTGAACTCTTTATCAGATAGATTGGGTATCTCCATTTACTTTTTTTCCTAGGGTTTTGTCTTGTTGTTTGGTTTGGTGCATATCTCTGTCTTCTCATTTTGACTGACTTACTGTTTTTGTTTCCATGAATTAGGTGGAATAGCTACTTCTCCTAAACTTGAAGGAATGGACTTGTGTATGGTTGTCCCCTGTGTAGACTGAGCCTGGTGACTTTTGCTGACTAGCTAGAGCTAGGGCTAGCCTGGGTGAGGATCCCAGGACACTCTGTGCTAGGGCTGTGCTGGTGGGATAGCTGGAGCTAAAGAGGTCATGGGCCAGCATAGGCCCAGGGCTCTTTGCACCAAGGGTGCCCTGGCAGAACAGCAGAGATGAGGCAGTACTAGCTGCAGGTTCCTGGGGCTCTCCACACAGAGGGTAGCCTGGCAGAGTGGCTGTAAACAATGCAGGGCTGGGTGTGAGGGTTCTGGGACACATTGGAAAGACGGCACCCTGATGGAGTGTCTGGAGCTAATGCAGTATGAGCCAGGTGGTCCCAGAATGCCTGCACTAGGGGTGCCCTAGCAAGTCATGTGGAACTGAAGTGGTTTAGGCCTGGAGTATTCTGGGGGTACTTTGCATCTGTGTCATCTTTGCAAGACAGCTGTAGCTGTAGCTGTAGTGAGCACTGACCAGGTGTGTCCTAGTATGTACTATACTGGGACCGCCTTGGTGGGACAGCAGAGTTTGTGTGGGCTAGGGGCATGGGGCTCACTGAAGCAATAGGCCAGCTAGCATGTGCATATAGGACCCTGCTCCCATCCACACTCTCAGGGTAGATGGTGAATGTAAACTGGGGCAGCCAGCCCCTCTGACCTGGACAGAGTTCCAGCAGCTCCCTTGCTATTTTGACAGAGTTCCAGGCTGGTTCCTGTATATTCTAGTTGCTCTTCTAAACTGTGCTTTTTTGTGTGTGCCCCATGGCAGACAAATCTGCTCACAATCCCTCAGTACTATTCCTTCCCACTGCTGTTTGCAGTGTCAGGAGTGGGGATTCCCTTTTTCCCTTTGTTACAGTGTATTTCTCTTACCATTCTTTATGTGGCCTCTTTATCTTCACTTGTACAGAAGCTCTTCAGTCAGCCCTCAGTTTTTCTTCAGGACAAACTGCTCTATAAATAGGTGTAGATTTGGTGTGTCTGTGGCAGAGATGAATTCAGGGTCTTCTCATGTCACCATCTTGGAACAGAATCTCTTCCTTATGATTTTTCTCAATATTTTCTTTTTCTAGCTTACTTTATTGTAAGCATAGAGCATACAATACATATAACATACAAAATATGTGTTAATTGACTATGTTATTGGTAAGACTTCTAGTCAATAGTAGGCTATTAGTAGTTAAATTTGGGGCGAGTCAGAAGTTATATGCAGATTTTTTTAAAAGATTTTATTTATTTATTTGACAGACAGAGACATAGCGAGAGAGGGAACATAAGCAGTGGGGGAGTGGGAGAGGGAGAAGCAGGCTTCCCGTGGAGCAGGGAGCCCAACGTGGGGCTCGATCCCAGGACCCTGGGACCCTGACCTGAGCCGAAGGCAGACGCTTAATGACTGAGCCACCCAGGCGCCCCTATATGCAGATTTTTGACTGGCAAGGTGGTTGATATCCCCAATCCCCATGTTGTTCAAGGGTCAGCTGTATATATTTGTAACTATGAGTGGGGTTGAGCAATTGTTTTCTGTTTTTATTTTGTTTTGTTTTAATTTTAGTCGGTTAACATACAGTGCAATATTGGCTTCTGGGGTAGAATTCAGTGATTCATCACTTACATACAACACCCAGTGAGGGCTGAACAATTGTTGAAGGTTCTTGACCATTTATAATTTTTTTCTATTCTCCAACTTTTTAATGAGCTATTTTTTAAAAACTACTTAACAACTTTACGCTCTATATAAAGTTTAATATAAATAAAAGTTAATAAAATTATAGTTTATTTATAAAGTTTAAATAGCTTAATAACTTTATTCCTTATACCATAAAACTTCATATAGGAAGCTATATTAAGTCCATTTTATCACATGAAACACATTTTTTGCAATTTATTAATCTTTTACCTTTGTCATAATGGTTATTAGCTTAAGTTTTGAATCTTTATATAATTTATCAACTTTTTTCTTTATGAATTCTGGATTTTTTGTGATGTTTAGAAAGGACATTCTAAACTGAGATTATAAAAACTCATATCTCTGTTCTTGAAATATTTCTTTAGTTTTTAAATTTTACTTTGAACTCTTTGGTTTATCTGAAATTTATCTTAATATAAAGAATAAAGTTGGTGTTCAGCTTTTTTCCCCCCAAATAGTTATATAGAGTTATTATAATGTCCTTAATTGTTTGATCCACTTCCCCTGATTTGAAATGCCACTTTTACCATATAATAAATTCCCATATGTGTCTGAGTCTAGTTCTAAAATCTATTCTTTCCCATTAATCTATTTGTGGGTTGTAGTGAAATGTTTTAGTGCCTGTAGCTTTATATTTTAGTATCTGTTAGGGTTAATCTTATTCTATTACTTTTAGTTTTTAGAATTTTCCTCTATATGGTTAGTACCATTTGTTGGATTCTAAAAAACAAATGCAAGATGCCATTTTGACTGGATTCACATTGAATTCATAGATGAGTTTAACAAACACTGACATCTTTACAGTATTTTACAGTACAGTATTTACAGTATTGAGTCTTCCCATTGAAAAACAACTATACAGAAAGTTATTCAAGTCATCTTTTATGAATCTTTGTAGCATCAACAATTTGTTTTCATATAGTTCATATAAGTTTGTATCATTAACAATTTGTTTTCATATAATTCTAAATACTTAGCTTTTTTGTTACTACTGTAAAAATGATCTTCTCTTTCATTATATTATTGAACTAGTTATTGTTTGCATATAGGAAACTTACTGATTTTTGAATATTGGTTTTATAAATATAATAATTTTACTTGTGAAAATATATGCAGCAATAAAACTTTACCTTTGTAAATCCAGGACTTCATTTACAATATCTGTTCCAATACTCCCAGCACCAAGTACTATTCCTGTAGACATTCCAGGCACACTAATGCAAGACTGTTTAGAGGATTCTAAATAATAACAAAAGGAAAAATTCAAATGAAGACTTTCAAAATGTATATATAACTTCAGTTATTATTTTTTATTTCAACTCTAATATACTTCCTATTTCCCTCTTTAAAAGAAAGAGCTACATCCTAAAATGTTCTAACCATTCATGCTTGCATTAGAAACATAACTCATGATGGTTTAAAATGCATATGAAGAATGATAGGAATCAAATGTGTAGAACATCATTGAGGGTACATTTATAACCTGTAGCACTTGAGTACAGATATTTCCTTCTCATTTTAATCTCCACACTAAAGCCAGAGCAATACTGCTTTATTTTTTAATATTACTTAATATTTCTATTTTTATTTATACAAGTAATGCATTAAAATATTCTTGTGGTGGAAAATCAAGATAAGCAAAAACTCCCCCTTAATGCTTTCCATTAATTTACCCAACAGATATGTACTGAGTAACACAAACTACAAGGAACTTCTAGGGATAGATAATGGATAAAATACCATTTCTACTCTTGAACTCAGTTTAGTGGCAGGCCAGTCGAACAAACAACTAATTGCAATAGGATGTAAGATTATAATGGAAGTGTGTTCAAAGTACTGTAGAAATTCTGAAAAGGATAATTTAAGCCATAGAAGTCTTTGCATTTTACTTTGAAATGTTTCCTTCTCCAAGACGGAAAAAGATGGTTACAGTAACAGTCCTAGTAATAAATCTCGATCATTTAAAACTAAGCTTACCTTCTGATGATTGAGAGCTACAAGGAAGTAACGACACTTCTCTCATCTCACTATGTCCCCTAGAATTAAGAAACACCATAGGTGATTTTTTTTTAAGTGAAGGAAATTGTGAAAGCCACTACATTAAAGCTCTGTGTACTTATCAATTCTTGGCCTTTTTGTTTTATATATACACGCTGTTAATGTCACCACCAGATATCAAGGTGCTAAGTACCAGGGCATTTGCCCAATGCCCTATTACCCTATGAAGTACATTTTCTCACAGTTGCAAACTCTCAGTTTTTATATTAATGATAAGAAGGCAAGGATTATTAGAATGAGTAACAGAGGATACTGCTGGAGAAACCAAGCCTTGGGGGCCTTTTTAAAAAACTATAGATCAGGAAACAGAATTGGTTTGATGCAACCTTACAGTAATTATAAAGAAAAGCTTACAGAAAGCTAATAATACTTAGAATGGGCTATGTTAGCTTATTAAGCAAATCAGGAAAAATTAGGTCTTCTTTAAGGCTGGCTAACACAGCCATAGCCAGGGCTTGGCAAGCAATGCTTAGGCTGGAATTCTGCTTATTCCCTCAGCCAAATACTCCCACACAAGCACATGTGGTATCCCAGGCCTAGAAGTCGGAGGGGGAGATGAACCACGAGAGACTATGGACTCTGAGAAACAAACTGAGGGATCTAGAGGGGAGGGGGGTGGGGGGATGGGTTACCCTGGTGATGGGTATTAAAGAGGGTACATACTGCATGGAGCACTGGGTGTTATGCGCGAACAATGACTCATGGAACACTACATCAAAAACTAATGATGTACTGTATGGTAATTAACATAACAATAAAAAATTTAAAGAAAAAAAAGATGTGCATGCAAAAATGATATGCAGGACAAAACAATTTCTTACAGTGATATATAGTTTTAAGTTACAACTATATCATTTAGTGGAGGGACAAGACAAGGCCACCATGAAGGGTAGGAAGGAGGAGCTTGAGTGAATACATTTACTATCACCTTTAATACCAAGCAAAAAGAAACTTATTACAAAAGGGAAAACTTACAGCTTAATTCTGAGAAGTAACACCAGTGAACAGTGAATGAATTACAAAACAATACATACTCAAGTTATAAAGCCACAAGATCATACAGCTTTAATGATGAGAAAAGACGCTCATTTGAGATTAACATAAAGGTTTTAACAACATAAAAAATTACTTACAAAACTAAAGTGTTGACAGACACAATATACTCCAGTTCTTTGGTCCAAGGATTTGTGAAACTAAACCACTGGCTTTTTAAAGTTACAAAAGAGCCATCTTTCTTTCTGAACTTGTATAAATCTGTAAATATTTTCTCTTTACTCTGTAGAACTTAACAAGAAAAGATAATAATCAGCATAATACTCTACCACTACATTAAAAGATTCAGATTTCACAGGAATGAGAAATGAGTTGAGGCTGTAATTAAAATTACCCCCAAATTACCCCCATTCAATGCATACCTGCTTTGTGCTTGTCAGTCAAATTACTATGGTCATCTTGATGAAAATATTCATAACAAGAAGTTCCCAAAAGTTCCTGAGGCAGATATCCTAAAATTGCTGTTGCCCTGATTTTAAAATTGAAAATAAACTTCAGATTGGTGAATGCAATCCCTTTCAGAGTACTGTAGGTCCATATATGGTCAGGATAGTAGGAGAGTGGACAGGGGGATGAGTAAACCTGGGATCCGTTTGGCTGCCCGAGACCCAGACTAGAGGTACAAAATAGAATGGACACCCACCCAGTCCAGGGTATGCTCTTCTCCCATTCAGTAAAATTGTGGCCACAGATCATGTTCAGTTTCTGCACTACTGGCTTAAAAAATATTATTCCAAGTTTTATCCAGCAGTGCTACTAGGCACATCTTTAATAGCCTTAGGTATCCCATTGAACTCTAATCATTATGGCATATAAATGTTCACCTTTGGTCCACATAGACAAATTTTCCATTCATTGCAAACCGGGTTATAAATTCAGTTGGTTTCACTTTAATCTCTCCACTGTTCTGTGGGACAATATATGGATGTAATCTTCCAATGGCAACAAGGCAGTTAAAATTACTACCGTCTTTCTTATTGTCCCTTTCTTCTTCCATTCCAACAACATGTGGAGGCCAGCTTCTCAAGTAACCAGTGCAGTGGATAGTACAGAATTTTCTATGATCTAATTCAAAAGTTTAAAAGACGGACATTTGAGTCATTGTGAATAAACTCTTAAATTTCTTTGACATTTATAATAGTTAAAATTGTGCTATAAAGCATTCTTTAAGCATGCTAAAATACGAAAGGGGAAAGCTATTGCATTGAAAAGAAATCATCAATTTCATTTAAAAACCTTATTTTTTTTTAAGATTTTATTTATTTATTTGACAGAGACAGCAAGAGAGTGAACACAAGCAGGGGGAGTGGGAGAGGGAGAAGCAGACTCTCCGCTGAGCAGGGGAGCCCAATGCGGGGCCTGATCCCAGGATCCTGGGATCATGAGCTGAGCCGAAGGCAGATGCTCAACGACTGAGCCACCCAAGCGCCCCAGGTGCCCCTTAACAACCTTATTCTTAACGGATTATTTTTCTCATAAACTAAATTATACATACTATAATAAAAAGGTAAAAGATTGCTTTAATTTAGGTTTAAAGAGGCCTAGGGCTTAATATATTTCCAAGCCAGTTTTTAAAATTACAGTAATTCCTATTTGTTAGAAAAAGTTAAACTTTAAGCATCCTTGCCCTTAGCCACAAAGGTACTATTTTTAGCTTAATAATTTTGGGTATAATTCATATTCAAAAATTCATAAAGGACAGTTAATTACACACAAATTCTTAAATTCCTTATGTTAGCACTTATAATGGTGAATAGATAGCTATGGTTATAATAGATTTATAACAATATTTAGAGAATATTTGGAGAAATTCATAAATGTATAAGAATAAAATTTGAATTAAATTTCACTTTTCAGAAAACTCTCAAGCAATTAACTCACAGGAAAAAGTTTGTCAAACAGGCCCAATCAAAATAATAAAAAATTGGAAATAATCCATGTGCTCAAATATCAGGAAACTCTTAAAACAGTGAGATACAACACAAGCATAAAAAATTGGCAGTATACAGATTACGGCAATCCACACACAAAGCTGACTTAAGTGTTAAAAAGAAGGGGGGAAAAAAACAGGTAAAAATTACTGAAAACGGTGGTTTGTGATAAGATTTAGAAAAGACCAGAACATTCATTATTTTAAATTAGCACTATTTGGTAAGACTGTTATTACAACAAATCTTAAAAAAAAAATTTAACAGAAGATGATATGGGCTGTCTTATAAGACAGCAACTAATAGTCAAAGCAAAGACTTGGAGAACACTTTGTGTGCCGTGTTGCTTTAAGTGCTTTCAGTGTATAATTAATCTTAACAGGCTTGTGAGGTGTTCTTATATCAGCACCATTGTCTTAGGAAACTGAGAGTTAATACCAAAGTCATAGCAGAAAAAGGGTGGAGCTGTGAGTGCTCTGTCTTGGAAAGTGTTTAAACATGGGCTGTCCATGTTGTGATGGAGTGGGGTGGATACAAAAGGTGTTTCAGTCAGAGGGAACAGCCAATGTAAACCTAGAGCCAAGAGAGTGTCACACGTGGCCGAGGGCATAGTCTGTGATGGGCAAGTGGCTTGAGAATAAAGCAGGGAACAGATAGGTTAGCCTTGTAAACCATGCATAGGACATTGCACTCATCACCTAACAGACATCACCCCCTCCATGGTCCACAGATGCCTTAAATTATGTCATTATCTGTTCTAATCCAAAACCACACACACACACACACACACACACACACACACACACACACGCACACGTATGCGCACACACACACATATGTATGTACTTTTTTTTAAATTTTGAGTGTAATTGACACATAATGTTACATTGGTTTCAGGTATAAAACATAGTGATTCAAAGGTTTAAGCATTATGCTATGCTCATAAGTGTAGCTACCATCTATCACCTTACAATGCTATTACAATATCATTGACTATATTCCTTATGCTGTGCCTTTTATTCCCATGACTTATTCATTCCATAACTGGAAGCCTGTATCTCCCACTCCCCTTCACCCATTTTGCCCATAACCTCACCCTCTCCCCTCTGGCAAGCATCAGTTTGTCCTATGTTCACAGTTCTAATTCTCTTTATTTCTTCTTTCATTTTAGATTCTGTGTATTAGTGAAATCATATGGTATTTGTCTATCAGTCTGACTTATTTCACTTAGCATAATACCCTCTAGGTCCATCCATGTTGTCTTAAATGGCACAATTGCATCCTTTTCCATGGCTGTGTAATATTCCACAGAAATAAAAGCAAAAATAAATTACTGGGACTACACCAAACTAAAAAGGTTTCGCACGGTGAAGGAAACCATTGGTAAAACAAAAAGGCAACCTGCTGAATGGGAGAAGATATTTTTAAATGATATATCCAATAAGGTTAATATCCAAAATACATAAAGAATTTTTACATCTCAACACACACCAAAAAAAACCAGTTTAAAAATGGGCAAAGGACCCGAATAGACAATTTTCCAAAGAAGACATACAGATGGCCAAAAAACACATGAAAAGATGCTCACCATCACTAAACATCAGGGGAATGAAAATCCAAAGCACAATGAGATATCACCTGTGAGAATGGCTAGAATCAACATAAGAAATGACAAGTTCTGGTAAGGATGTAGAGAAAAAGGAACCCTCATATACTGTTGATGGGAATGCAAATTGGTACAACCCCTGTAGAAAACAGTGTGTTCTTCAAAAACTTAAAAACAGAAACACCATATGATCCAATAATTCCACTACTGGGTATTTACCCAAAGAAAATCAAAATACTTATTTGAAAGGATATATGTACCCCTATGTTTATTGCAGCATTACTTACAATAGCCAAGTTATGGAAGCAACCTACGAGTCCATCAATAGATGAATGGATAAGGAAGATGTGGTATATGTATGCTATGGAATATTATGCAGCCAAATCACCTTTATATCACTTACTCCCTATTCTGTTTATTGGCACCATAATCAACCCAGGTAGTTAGTTAAATGAGAAAACTGGGAGTCCCACCAGATTCCTTTCTTTACAACATCCAAGATACCTTAAGGGAATTAAAATTGGGATAAATGGTAAATACAAGGTTTTCATTCATATTAAAACTAGATAGCAGTCAAAAGTCAAAAAGCTTATACACTGAGTTTGGCATTTCTGATGGCATTTGCTTGCAAATTTACAAATGATACTGACTAAAAATGTTCTTTTCAACTAAAAATGTAGATTTAAAAAGTTCCACATTCATACAGAATCTCATCACACAAAACCTAGCATTTTACTTTGATTCTTCTCTAATAACAGGGTTGCCAACCAAATTTCCAATTTAATCTGTCTCACAATTCTCACTGTGAACATTTATTCAGTTGGCAGATTTTTAGTTGGGGTTATGTGATTCCATCCACTGCAATCCATTTGATCAATTGCCTTAGGCTTTTTTAAAATCCCATATGATACCTCTTATCTCAAGAATTCTTAGGGGCACCTGGGTGGCTCAGTCAGTTAAGCATTCAACTCTTGATTTCAGCTTAGGTCATGATCTCAGGGTCATGAATTTGAGCCCTATGTCAGGCTCCACACTCAGCCGGGAGTCTGCTTGAAATTCTCCTCCCCCACCCCCGTTCACATGCTCTCCCTCTAAAATAAATAAATCATTTTAAAAAAAGAATTCTTTAAATTTTTACCTAAATATTGGGGTCATGGGCCCCATTCCTTACCAAACTGTTTACATCAGCTCCACAGGGTAGATTCAAGTATAACCTACTCTGTGATTTTTGGAAAGGGGGAAAAATTTATGTTAACCCAAACGCTGCCTTCATTTATAGGACATCTTTTCAAAATCCCTCATGAAATTTTTCTTCAGGTTGAGGGCTAGGTCTCTCAATTTGGTATCTTGCTTGGTTTGAATTCTCACAGAAGCAGATCTTGAGACAAGGATTCAGGTACAAGAAGCATATTTGAGAGAGGATCCCAGGAATACTAGTAGGGAAGTGGGATGAGACAGGGAAGAGAAGGAAGATGATAAAGGATAAGTTCTCCAGCAAGTTCCCACTTTGGAAAATCAATGTTATATCTGGGTGGGGGACCTTCTGGGAAAAAAATGTAGAACAAGAGCCTCAGAACTAAGTAATCCGAAGAAAAAGAGAGTTAGGATGTTTATCCATCAGCTCCCTTCAGGCAGTGGATGAGGGTTGCTCACAGGGAGCACTGATTCCCAAGGACTTGAGGTCCGCCCCTAGCTACTGTAGGCAGAACAATCTCTAAAGAAGAGAGAAGGTCTAGCAGAGTCATGGAGGTTGGACATTGGAAACAAGGTGGCATCCCTGCAAGTGGTAGGTGCTAAGAGGATAGGTCATGGTGTACTGACAGCATCTGCCACACTTGCACAGGGAGCCAAAGGGATTCTGGGTGTACTACTGTATTACTGATGATCTCATTAAGATAAATTTGAGAAACACCCAAGACATTTGGTAGTAGTCATCCATCCTTCATCAGCCCTTGATTTCACGAGTAGAGATACAGGAGTAATTTTATCCCTATCTTAGAAGCTTTTTCAAAGTTTGAATCTATAACATTCATGTAAGAATCAGGGCAGAAGTAATGTTTCTAATGTCAATCTTGTTTATTTTTAAACATTTTATTATGGAAAATCTCAAACATACAAAATGAGAACAGTATAATGAAACCCCACTTGAGGGATTCATGGCCAATCTTGAGAAATGGCTTTTCCATAAATTGTAAGTTCAGTTTCAATTAGCATAAAAAGGGCTTTCTAGTCTCTTAAATTTAAGTGTAACTAAAACAAAACTATGGAGATAAGAGATGAGTGGTTACCAGGGGAGGTGGCAGGGGGAGATGAATAGGCAGAGCACAGTGGATTTTAATGCAGTGAGACTACTCTGTATATTACGACGACAGATACATGTCATTATACATTTGTCGAAACCCATAGAATGTACAACATCGTGTGAGTGAACCCTAAGATAAACTGTGGACTTTGGGTGATGATGATGATGATGTGTCAGTGTAGGTTCATCCTTGGTAAGAAATATACTGTTTTGGTGGGAGATATTGGTA